GCAGTCCCCAAGGGTCCATGTACCCAAATAGTATAGATACTTCGGCCCCAAAGTACCCAAATAGGGACTACTTGAAGGCCCAAAGTATCTCCTACTTGGGTACATGGACCCTTTTGGGAGTGGGATCCTGTCTTGATTGAGAGCGTTGATCTATCAGGGCTCCACAAGTGAAAAAATCTAGGGTGCAGATACGCATTGATATTCGGGGTTTGGGTTGAAGGGATAAGGGCACCGTTCAGTTCATATGTAAATCGGGGTAAACCTAGACCCTAGACCCCTAAACTAAACCCTAAACCCCTAAACCCGCCTAAACCCTAAACCCTAAACAGAACTAACGCCCCCCTAAGTCCCACTTTGGAGTTTGCCGCCTTAGGGAGGTTTCCGAGTTAGGGATTAGGGGTTCAGCGGCTGAGGGTGCAGGGTTTAGGGGTTTAGGGGTTAGAGGTTTAGGGGTTCAGAGGTTGAGGGTAGGGGCTGAGGGGTTTAGGGTTTTGGGGTTTGGGGTATTTAGGGTTTAGGGGTTAATGTTTAGGGTTTAGGTGTTTAGGGTTTAGGGCGGTGTATAGTAAATAGTAACAGGCTTATATAGGGGGGTTATGATTCAACGCTAAGCATGTAGAGTCGAGTCAAGGGTTCAAGGTTCAGGGCTTGCGGTATACGGTCGTTCGGGATTCTGGGCCTCGTGTTTAGCCTGAGTTTGGGCTTGTGGACTAAGGGTTTGGGGTGTGAGCTGTTGGGTTGTGGGCTACGGGCTTAGGGCTTCTGTTGCATCGATCTATGCACTCTCGGCAAGCTTGCAACTCTTACCGCCGCCCATCGCGCAATGAGGCGACCCTAGCGCAGACAATTTCAGGATCGTTTGCATAAGAACCCTTCAGTTATGTGCCGCTGAATCCCCACATGCTTTTGGTTAGCCACAACCACTGTTGGGTGAATCGCCCACCCCTCCACCTAATTCCAGAGAGCCGAAAGGAAGGGCTTGAGCCTGCCAACCCTAATCCCGTACTCCGAAAACCTGTATGGGTAGTTGTCTAAATTAGGGTCTCTTTTTGGGTCCACAATATATAGTACGGCACCCTTGTAAAAAGGACTCCAAAACGGACCCTAATTTAGAGTAACCCTGAAACCACTCTGTTGTGGTCCTGGTGTTGTTGCTGATGAGGTGGAGCTCCTCAACCAGGCCCGGTCAGGGCCGATGGTGGGAGCTAGGATTAGGGGGACCCTTGGGGATATAGACCCTCTCAATAAGGTCCCTTTTAAGAGAGCCAAAGTAGGGTTCAGAAGGGGTACCCTTTAAGGGGCACCCCTAATAATACTACCTAAATGGCAGTGGGATTTGGTGTTTGTCTGGGGTTTAGGCTTCGATGGTTTCGTGTGGTGTGCTTTATCAAAGTAATACAGAAGCCTAAATAAGTACCAATCCTATTCTTTAGGGCTCCTTTCTATTTTTATGTTATAAGGTATCCCAAAACCCTATGCTAATGACTGTGACTAAGTCCCCTACATTATATGGGTTTTCATTACGGGGTTTTTGTGCCCACAGACTCTTAAGCAATAGACCTCACACTACATCATCTTGATGTATTATGAGGCTTTAGCGGTTTGTGGGGTTCAGGATCTAGGGTTTGGGTTTCAAGGTTTCGGGGTTTGGGTTTGAGGGTTTAGTGTTGAGGCTTTTCCGGCATTATTCCTTTTTGTCGGCTTCAGCAGTTACCCATGGACCCCATAGTAGTTCCTGTTTGTGGCTTATATGTAGGATCTATTCGGTAATCCCAAAAAGGAACTACTATGGGGCCTATGGGTAGAGGGTAGAGGCTTGTCGTATTCTGTCCTGCGTGTCGCTTTTGTTTGTTGCTCTTTGCTTGGAAACCCTGTGGCTTTGAGTTTAGGGTTTAGGGTTCCGTTCTTGGGTCCTGCAAGGCCTCGAGGATGTAGCTTATGGCTTTTGGGTGGCTGGATTTGAAGCGCTCTCTAGGACATTTTCAGGTGGGTAGTTACCGGTATAGGAGCCTTATAGAAGGTCTATATATACCGTATATACCTTATAGAAGCCTTATAGAAGCCCTGTATATACCCTAAACTCCCCACCTGTAGTTTCCTTTAACGCTCTGTCAGGTTCAACATGTGGCAACCCAGTTCTTGGTGTTGGAAGCTTTCAAGCTTTTCTCATTTATCATCGTTCATGCAGTTTAACCGAGATACCCCACGGGAGAGCTTCAAGCTTTTTGGCCATTTATATGACAGGGTTTAGGGTTTAGGGTTTAGGGTTATGTGTAGTCTACCTGAGAAAGTTTGGTCTGTGTGGGGCCCGGTTATTGAAGAAGATAGAGAAGCTTAATCTAAGCTTATGTTCCAATCGCAGTCGAGGACCCTAAACCCTAAA